AGGTTAATAAAAGAAACTGAAACTGAAATCCTTGTTAGCTTCAGGGATGGCACAAGCGCGCAGGCCAGCTGAGCCTGGGGGCCCAACTGTTTGGGTGGCCTGGCCCAGCAGTAGGGGGGAGCCAGGGTAAAATCTGTCGGGAAGAAATAACTTGGTGGGCCTGAGTTGGGTGTGGACTCTCTTGGTTCCTACTAAAACGAAATAACAATGGCCGGTAGATGGAAAAGATGCTTGAGATATAAAGGTACAAGGCACTTTTGATGTTTTTTGTTCTGGTTCAATCAATTTACATCATCATATGCAAATCCTATTGTATTGTCAGGTTATTTTCATTATATTCAAGAAAATAATTGCGATTTCAACTCACAACCTTGAGGTTGGTACCAGTAGTTCAAACCCATGCTCTGCATTTTGCTTGTGTAAGGCTAAAACAACCAACATACAGTACTTGGGTTTTTTGTTTTTGTTTTTTTTTACAGCTCCGTCTGCCTATTTTAGCACCCAGTTTTGTCCTAAGGAAGTGTACTGTAGGCTTTAAAACTGCCCATAACATGTAACTCGCTGCAGGGCAGTGACATACAACTTCTATCTTAGAAGAATGACAGCATATAAAATATTAATTGCGTTTTACTTTGCTTAAGGCATAAATAATGAATCAGAGTTGATTACATCTACCGTAGCATTCAATATCATAAATTATTTTTGATGTATGGGAGAAAATAATGAAGATATATTGCAAATTAAAATAATAAATGCTACAGTAGATGTAATATCTTTTTATTCATAATATAGCAAGCTTTTGTAGCCCGCCAGTATCCGCTACAAGGGGACACTAACACTTTTTTTTTTTAAATCTTTAATTATGTTTTTATCAAATTGTTTCCATTCCAAAATTGAATATGCAAATGAAAATATTGAATATATGCAGATGAAGATTAAATATTATATTTTTTGGAGTTGCTGTTGGTAATTCACATACAGTACATTGCTATAACACACAATTTATATTCTGAATTGGATTCATATGTGAATTTAAGCAAAATCTTAATTTAATTATTGCACAATATATTTATTATATAGTTTTTCTTGCTAGATATAAATTGCTTAAGAACAATATGTGGCAAAGACAAGCCAAACCAGTCACTCGTCGCAAAAATCAATTTTGTGTTATTAATACAGGCTTAGAGATAAAATATATCTCCCAAAATATGTTCCAAATTTCCAACCAACACCCACGCACTTCACTCCGCTACTCTTACTAAAACACCCTTTTGCCCCCCCCCCAAAAAAAGAAAAAATATTAATAATATGAAATAATAAAAATATTTTTTTTTTCTCTTTTGCGATGTAACCACCACTAAAATATATAATTTATAATAATTTTTTTTTTTATTTTGTGATTTTTATGCCTTTTATTACTGTAAACATTTTTCACAATTCAGTTTTTTAAACTGCAATGAATTTATATTATTACATCTTTTTGATATTGATTATGAATGAAGATACCCTGATATTTATAAATGTGACATATAATTTAAATTGATTGAAACCACTTTGAATACAATACTTCACTCTTCTGCTCTTTCTATTTTATTTTACAGTATTGTCTCGCTTTTTGCATCTTTTTTTTTTAAGTCTAGACCACAATTCTGCTTTAGTTTAGCACCATTTCCAAAATTATGTTAAACCTCTAATCACTCTGTACACAATGGAAATAATTTTTCTTATAAAACAGATGCAAAAAGGGTTTACCACTGCTATAAATCATAAAATTACTAGAAAGTCTCAAATACAGTGCATAACATTAATGTGTTTTTCTAGTGCATGATTGTGAGTAGTGTACAGTATTATGTTTCATTCGGATGTATTTTTGTTGGGAAAAAAAAAAGAGATTGTTGAAAATCAGCCGTTTAGTCATTTAGTTATTATTTCCTGCTATACTGTATACAGTGTTTGAATGTCACACTGGTGTCAACATGATGTTACGATTCATTTCACATTCAATACACAACATGCTGAATAAGTAATGTATCCTCAAAGGTGGAATTTTTCAGTTTTCCAACATCAGGGAAAATGAGATATGCATGGATATATATTGTACACTTTGAAGAAGAATTGTCTTTGTCCACACTATGTAATTTGACATCATCATATGTGAGCATATCACACAAATTTGTTACATAGAATTTTGTAGTGTGAACTGAGCTTAAGGTATGTGATGATCCAATTAATTTAAAAGGAAGATGTTCAAACAGAAAACAATACAAACCGATGGACCTGTCACACTTTGTTAGCCAGAGTATGCCAACGTATGAAAAATTTGGCAGCTAGCAATCGTTGGTATAAGTTATCTATAAGTTATCAAAACGTTCTATATAAGTTACTAATATGTTATGTATACGTCCCACTCCCGAAATTGAAAAAAAAACATCAATAGTTCAGCGTATGCCAGCGTTTTAGATACACTGGTTTAATCGCCAAGGTGTGACAGGGCCATGAGAAAGGAAAGTGGGCATAGTTTATGTAGACCAACAGTGAAATGTGAGAGAGTAGTATAAAAACTGTAAATTAGCAAAAACTTTGCATTGATCTTAGTCTCAGCCTTATCTTTTTAATTAATTTTGTAAGGTATTTTTTATATTCTATAACAAATGTTAAGGGGATATTTCAGTTAATTCAATTTATTCAGAGAACCAAATACACTCAGAAAACATTAATTTAATTGAAACACATGAAATAAGAGAAAAATAAAACAGAAATGAGGTGGTTTCTATAACATAAATCACTAGAAGGGGGTGGGGGTATGGCGGTGACAGAAGGTTTTTAAATTTGACAAAGTTCACAATTAATAAAATGTACAACCAGCCCCCCCTCCCCTTAATTTTCTCTCATCACTTCCAGTTTCCTTATTTTTCCCCACCCTAAATTCAATCCTCCCAATCCCAGATTAAAGGTGTTTTCACTGAATATCTCAATCATATAACTCAATATGACTATCAATAGGGAGCTTGTGATGTATGCGACGCTAGAACGGAATCATTCATGCGTGACCGTCCTACCGGGGATCCTACATTCTCTGCATACATAGATTTGGCGAAATTGCGTTCTAGAATCCACGCGACAAGGAGAACTGAACGTTGTCACATGCGCTGGTGACTTTTAGTGACGGCATTACGTCCTACTGTCGGGCAATTGAAAGATCCCTAATATATCAATTTGACAGCACACCAATCTAACAAATAGTTATTAAGTTAATTAATTAACTAATAAGTTTATTAGCCAATCAAACAACATCCCATTTAAACCTAACAGTCAATTAACCAATCACAATCAGCATGCACTTTGTATCCATCAGCAATTATCGCAGATTACTTTGTCTGGGTGTTTTTTGTATGCTACCATCAATCACTCAATTATTAGATGCTTTTTGATTAATTGTGCCTCTATCCAAGTGCTATTAACAATGGCAATGATGGCAAATTGATCCAATCTCACTTAACAAAATCCCAATCATTGCAATTTCTCTGAAAAATCCAATAAATTAAATGATGAATATGTTTTATGGTAAATAAATGATATCGAAAATTGAGGATAGCAGTGCGTAGTTTAGTATGTAAACCAATGTACTAAATTTTACTTGTAGTTAACAATCTTTTTCAAATTTACGTATGATTTTTTTTGTTTAAAGCTACATTCCGTATCAATTTAAATTCCTACCGTACATTGTATAGCAGTGAGCAGTGCACATATTTAATAGCTACTATAAACAGTGCATTTTTAATTCGTTTCTTTTGTAATAATAATTATAGTATTGTTAGCATAGGCTTAGCCTGTGTGTCCGAACAATAGAAGTCTTTGATGGGAAAGTGGTTTGATGCAGTGGTTTCTGTGGTTGTGAGTTAAAAACCACACACTGACCATTCTTGGCCAGTCATGCTTAGAAACCCCAACCTGTAGAAGGGCTGCAAAAGTGGCTCACGCCATGTATAATAATAAATAATAATAATAATGTATCAGCCCATAGATGCATGCAATTCATGGTCTTTATTTTCTGTAAACCATTGATTGGCCCTTTGTAGCTTGTATAGTGCCCATGTTGCCTACGCTTGTGCACGACTAATAATGTCGTACTTAATGTAAATACTATTCACCGTATCATATTAAAAAGTGAAGAAAAACAAAAAAAGTCTTTAAAAAAGTAGCAAGCGTGTGCCTTCCCACAGAAATACAAATAAGTTAAAATGCGTTACCTTAGTTTAGGAATGGACGTCCATGTCAAGTACTGTACCAGGGCTCCCCTTACATAGTACAGTTTAAAGTTTAGGCAACGGGTGCCAATCAAGTTAGTTTACAAGGATAGACACTGCCTTCCACCACCAAGAACAGGGCTGCCAAGAGGGAAGGCTGTAACAGGCCTGGGGCAAGGGTTGGTGTGGCCCCGAGTTACGAGCACAAAGCACAAGAAAGATTGGGGGGGGGGAACCCTGTCAATCTGGACCATTATTAAGGGACCCATGCCATTATTGAGGGCCCATGATAGTAATTATTATTTTTGAAAAAACATTGAAAGAAAAATGCCACCTGCAATTTCTATGGGCCCCTGGTCAACTTGGGGCCCGGGGATCTTGCTCCCCCTGCCCCCTCTCGGTGGCACTGCCCAAGAGTACAGGTTCAAATTTCCGGAAAATACCAATCTTTTTTTCTCATGTCTGTAGTCCTAAGTAACTTGTAAGACTTTGACTGAGCATTGTATAGTTTACTATTCTGTAATGAGAATTAGCAGCCATTCCGGCGTGGATCTGATTCGATCCAAACAACTATGATGCAAGAAGGTCTTAGGTCATATGGATTACTTCACAGATATCTGTCGTGTCTTGCGTGTCTTGCAGTGCACGTGATGGATTTATCGTAATGTGAAGAAACTCTAAAACTGTGTTTTACAGTATGTAGCTTGCAAGAAGGGAAATTGTATTATTAAAAAACATGATTTTATTTTTCAGGACCCAACTAAATTTCAATCCACCAAAACACAGAGAGGTCTTCTTCAACCTGGATGGAGGGTGAGTTTTAAACAATTTCATTTATTTACTTATACAATTAACTATTAATGTATTTAGATTTACTTATTTAGATATTAGATTTAATATTTTAATAATTTATTTTATTTTAGATATTTCTTATTTATTTTATGATTATTAAATTATTTTATTCCTAAACAACAATGGTTGTGTCCATTTTCCCCTCACCAGTAGACCATTTAGAAAGAAGTTAAAAATGTTAATTGCCTTAAAAGTAATTTTTAGATTGGCTGAACTATGAATCAGTGTCATAAAATAGCTGTTCATTTTTGGAGACTGGCTGTTTGTATCTGAGAAATATGGTTTATATAGTAGCGTGAAGAGTCAATTGCTTTCAGAGTAATATTGATAAATTGTTAATACATTGACCCATGTACATCGCATCAGTATTGCCTTTCCATGTAATCCTATCAGTATTGCCTTTCCATCTAATTGATTATCATGTAGTTAATAATCACTTCCATGAACCACCAATTACAGTACAATACTTTCACTGTTTATGTGTTTTTATTGTTTTTAATCTCATTTAATTTTACATATGTTATTGATTACTTATTTGCTATTCTCCTCGTGTTAATTACTGAATGTTGTATTGACAAAAAAAAGATAACAGTATTAATCCATGTATTACAAGACTGTAGGTTCGAGAGACAGAGAACAGATCAATATAGGTTAAATACTGTACTACAGTTGCCATAGGCAAGGATTTGGAATTGTAGAATAAATTGTCATTAATCCAAGCTTCTGCCCTGCTTTAACAGCATTGGTAATCACATATACACACACCAGCTGTGTCTAGCTATTTTCTTTGTAAAGTATACAATTAATTCACTATTTACTTTAATTATAATACACATTTTTATAAGAAGAAAGGAATTGATGTTTAATTTTTATCGTTTGTGTCGCTTCTAAAGTACAGTATTCCAAATGGAGAAGGGTTGATGAATCTGAGTGCGAAAATTGAGAAATTCTTGCGACATTCGTTACATGATATAAGCTCATTATCATTGTATCGAATCCAAATGTCACGTGCGGATTAGTGTTAATAGAACTCACTGCATCCAGTTGTGACCTCAGATCCCTAGGGTCAGGCATTATGACACAAAGCAACTCTTTTAAAGCCCTATCTACACTATCAAATTTTCTTTAACAAAAGACTGTTGAATGCTCATAGTCATGATGTGCCTATGTATGATCATGATGTGATGTCATCTTGACCATATAGGCATATGTGTGTATTAAAGATGGGCCCATCATCTCCCCTCATTTAAATATTAGTATTTCAATTTTAAAACTGCAGCGCTGCCACCATTTTGTACACTGTTATAATATTATCAGTAATTTATTCAAATGTATTTATATCAAGAGAAAACTCAATTTTACTTTAAAACCATATATGTAAATATTAAATATTTCAAAATGTATTTACTTCATACTTAATTAATTTAAAATATATTTTGTGAATTTTTTTTCAACTGATATAATCATTTTTATTTTATACTGAAGGTCTTTAAGGTCAGATTTTCTGTTAGTGTAACAAAAATAGAGTGGAATAATAATGAATAGAATACATTTAAACATTGTTAATGATTCATCCTGTGATGTGAGTGGTTTAATGTATAGTCTTTGTATGACGAAGTAATTATCAGCCAGGTCTATCAGTTAGTGTTAATCAGGGGCGGATCCAAAGATGTCCAAAAGGGGCCAAACGAAACAAACACTACAATAGGGGGTCCGAGGGCATTCCACCATGAAATTTTTGTTTTCTAGACACTCGAAAATAACCTCCGAGGCATTATGGGTGATTAATTTTTTCTTTTTTTTTGTTATTACTTTCCAAAATTTGTGGGCCGTGGCCGGCCCGGTCCCCGCTCTTTCCTGCGCCCCCTCCATCTTCCCTTGTTAATGAATGACAAATGTTTGCATTTGGATAATAGTAATACTACAGTTTTCCTCCATTTAATCAAACTCACCTTCACTACAAAACAACGTCTCTGATAAAATGATGATCTCAAAATGAAAAATATCATGATTTGATTGTGTACTCTTTCAGTAGGTGGTCACAGAATAGAGTATGTTTTGTACATGAACATGATAGGGAGCCTTCGATTTGTGCGACGCTAGAACGGACTCACTCATGCGTGACCGTCCTACCTGGCGTCCTACGTTCTCTGCATACGTAGATTTGGCCAAATTGTGTTCCAGAATCTGCTCGATGAAGTGACCTTAACGTTCTCGCATGCGCAGATGACTTTAGTGACGTCATTACGTTCTACGTCCTACCGTCGTAGTGCAATCGAAAGCGCCTTAATGATGGAAATAATGGATGGCCACTTAGAAACAAAACAACTGGATTTGTGGACTTTGTTTACATCAGTGTGTACTAGATTTACATGCCCTTTCAGAAACATATCAGTTATCTTATTATGAAGTGTTCATTGCAATGACAGACGCTGTCTGTTCTGTTCGTTAATTAATTATTTTTTTTGTCATAAATTGCCATTAATGCCACTCATTTGATGGATACTAGATACAGTATATCATCTTTATCATTATTACCATCATTGTCAACATCATTATTTGTATTATTATTGTAAGTGTTTAAAAAAGTGATGGGATTCTTACCTCCATGGATTTACAAATTATTAAAATCTTTGTTTTATCTAGGATTCTTTCAATATTAGATTTAATTATGTCTCTAGTATTCTGTAATTATTTGATAATGTTTTTGAATTTTTTTCTCCAGGAAAAGACAAAACCAATAATGTGTTCATACAAAGGGACTAAAGTACGCTTTGATGTGTGGGGACTAAGATCAAGGGTTGAAGATTTCGTTCACAGGGTAAAGCATTACAATATATGTATAATATTGTTCTGTAGATAATTTGATGCCTTCTTTGATATAGGCCCATTACAATGTAAATTAATAAAGAAAAATATTCATCTAGATTTATTAATTAGATACCAGCTCTTTAAGACTTGTTATGAAAAACTACTAATGATTAGTAATTCAATACATTAAAAAGACGATGATGATAGAAATGAAGAAAAAAATTGTAGTATTAAAGGGGAAAAAATCAATTATCAATACAGTACATGGTTAATTGAATAATTGTTTATTTTCTCAGTCGATTCAGGAAATCCTATTACTGGGTCATCGGCAGGCGTTTACTTGGATAGATGAATGGATTGGTAAATAGCTTTTGTTTGTTTGACTTAAATATAAAAAAATGTATTTAAAGTTATTGGTCATTTACATTTAAGCATTAAATTTACACTGGATACAACTACTAATAGCTATAATTCGCATCAGAGATCGATCTATTAATACCTCCAGAAATACAGTAGTTGTCTTTAATTGCCTGTAGCGGATTATTTCCAGCCTGACTAAAACCCAACAAATAGTCCATGCTTACAAACATCTTACTATAGACAGATTAAATATCATCCACTTTTAAACAGCTATGCTTTTATTGCAGTGTAACATTAAAATTCTATACTTATATTAAACATTACCAAATTATACTCTAATGGAGAAAGACAAACATATCATGAATAAAGTTTCTAGTTTGCTTAATTTCCCAAGATAGCACCTGAATCGAATTTTGTGTGTGAAGATAATACTTTTGGTAAAAAATATATCAACAGAGCATTCATGACAGTCCATGCCACACCTGATTGAAGTCGGCATCGACTGCCAATGAAAGCTGCTAAATAAATGTTTAAAGTATTCTCAGAGTGTTGCCTCATTGCTACTGCTTTTGAGTACAGTACGTTCGACATTTTTTTAAAAGTACTTAATATTTTACTGTGCATGTGGAGTGTATATAAGGGTGATTCTGAGGAAGGAACAAGCTAATGTGATGTGAACATGGGTGTTGTGTATTTATCTACTTTACTCAAGAATATATCCTAACACATTCTCTAGATGCCTTTTCACATAAACATACCATTCAATTAGTTTATTAGATACAGTACTCTTTTTAGACAGAATATTTGACATGGCTTTTAACACATATAAAGATATTCACAATATTACAGTACATTTTACTTTTTTAACATTTTTGTAGTGTTAATTTAAAGAAAAATCTTGAAATTCGTGGAAAAATCATTTCAATATACAGTAATCTGTTGTTATGATATTTTGGTTGGTGCCAAATGTTTCTAAATATAGAAATTGGGTAAATATTATATTAGATTGGCATATGTAAATGATTCAAATTATTTACCAACCAACCAAAGAGTGTAGAATGGATTTGACTCTCAGGTTTTCTTTGGAATGCAGTCCTATCTCCAAGAGTACTACCACAGCTTAGAGGAGATCTTTCTAAAGAGTGATATAAACATAAAAGTTGTTTGAATCAAACGTGTGCCGTGTGTAAAGAACTGTTTGAACTATATAACAGGGTGCCTGAGAACGTGTTAGTACTACTTTGCATTTCATTGCGTTCATGCAAAATTAGTAGAGTTTGACCTCTTTCCCAATGGTGGATCGAGGGATTCAAAATAGATGGGGGGGGGGAGGGCAGACCGGGATTTTCACAGATTTATGATCTACACCAGACAGAAAATGTATGATTATGGAACCTCTAGATGTCCGGAAATGGCACTCTTTTTTTCTCCATCTTATAATCTTGAAAAATTAAGGGTGGGGGTGGAATGTAGGCAGCTGCCTCCCCCCCTCCCTTTGAATCCGCTACAGTTTCCATTCTTTTCTATAGAAAACCTTAAATTGATTACTAGCCAATGTTTGAGTCTATGAAAAGATTATAGCATTGTGGTATTTATGCATTTGATATTTGCAAGGAAAGTATGTTTTTGTTTATTTTTCAATTTAAAACTAAATAACTTCCTTAAACATACAAAGCAAGTAATTCAAGTGATTTTACTGTCCAGATTTATTTGTTCAACGCAGACAATATATCTATAAATAATCAAAGGAAACATTCTTATTGAATATCCTTATTACCTAGAACAACGTTTATTAAACTGTGGGTCGCTACCCATTCCTGGGTCGCCAAAATATTTGGGTGGGTCATGAACTTAACAGGTATCAACAAAAATTAGCAAGCTGTAGTCTGTCACTGTCATTATGTTGGCAATAATATACAGTACATAAAAACATGTGTTATATTTTATAATGTAAAATTTTATAAATAATTAAAATTTAATGACACATTTAGGTAAAAAACATCTATAGCACAACCAAAGCAGGTAAAATGCACTGAAACACATGTTGCATATTAAGCACGATATAGACCTATATCTTTCTGACTTATGCATCTATTGAATAGTGGGTCGCAGTTCAATTTTTAATTTCTAACTTGGTCGTCAGTCTTAAAGATTGTAGAACGCTGGCCTAGGAGACTGGTTGAATGTTGTTTTTGGAGTATTTACAATACATTTTTCAAACATCGCCTATGTTGAGAATCCTTGGGAAGGGGCATAAGATACTATCATTTTATTTAAATTAAAGTATTGTACTTTGGTTTTGGAATACAACTTTTGTATTCAAAAATAAGTTTGAGGTCATAGTTATTTTTCCTTGTTATTAAAGGTCATTTGGATTACTCTAGAATCTTTTTAATCTCAACACTTCTTTAATGCTTAGTCTACCCATGTGATCATTTTCACCCAATCCCAACATCTCTTTGATACTTTTACGCATGTGACCCTCTTTTGTCCAATCATTTTGCTTCTTCAATTCCTTTTTTTATGCTCCTAATCATAAACTTATCAGATTGAAATGACTCATGCACATTTTTTAGATTTAATTTTTATATTACTTTAATCCAGAAAGTTCTCAAAAACCCAGAACAGTACAATTGTAAACGTAATTATTATGGCCTCTTTCCACCATCTCTATTTTTTATTATTTTTTTTTGTTTTATCTCATGACTTCCTTTGGATATTTCTTCAGATTTAACAATCGATGATGTACGAGATTTTGAGAAAATACAACAAGCCAAAACAAATCAGAAAGTCAGTTCAGGCTTACAAGGAAGTGATGGAATGACAGAGTCAGGAACAGAGAAACCTGTCAATGATACCATGGATCCTGCCATCATGTCTGCTACCAGTCAAGAGGTTGAAAAAGTGGATTCATGAAAAGACATTAAAAGAGATAACAGAGAGTGAAAATGGCTTTTAAAAATTTGTGTAGAATGACCTGGATAGATAGGTAGTGGAAATTTTAAAAATTTTTGTTAGTTCTTTCATTACCTGTGTATATAGATTATCTCTTGATAATGGAAAATGAGTACCACTGATTTACAGTATTGTTTGAATAACACTTAATATTGTTTTGGAGTATACTTAAAGAAATGTTCATACACCTGTATATTGTTTGAGTAAAACCTACATTTTGTCAGAGTACAACTTAAGCATTGCTTGAGTATCACTTAAATATTACTTGAGTACCATTCAAGTATTGTTTAAAGCGCTGTCCAGACAATCAAATTTTATTTGACAAAAAAAAATCATGTGACATGCCTAAATATAGTCATGATGACATCACATCATGACCATATATAGGCACATCATGACTATATATGAGTAGTTTTTTTTTTTTTGTCAAATAAAATTTGTTGATCTGGACAGAGCTTATGTACAGCCTAAATACAACCTGAGTAACACTTAAATACAACTTATTCTGCTAAATGGTTCTCTAGTATTGTTGAAATAGCATAACTTGTGTACCACTTTAAGTACAGCTTATTTGATTAAATGGTAATGTAAAAAGTATATATTTAGGTTGACTGTGAGTTTTAGATTCTGTACTTGCCATGATTTTATTAAGGATTTCCATCAAATTATATTTTCTGTTTATAATTGTTTAATTTTATAATTATGATGACACTGTATTATTTTGATTTTTAGAACTCTGAATAAATGATAATAATAAGCCTTCCCAACAGGGAGAGGCTCTGGAGAGACTAATGCTGTGCTCTTATTCTTCTTCTTGCCATTTTGGGGGAAGAAGGGGCATGGTAGCAGTGTAATTAATTATACTGTATATTAATTCCATAATAGCAATATTAGAGGTAAATTATGCTTTCTTTTTTTTAGGCTATGTTTGTAACATGTTGCATAAAAATGTTAATTCTTCTTATAAACACCTATATAATATTATTTATTTCTTATAATATATTTGTTGACAAATTACACCTAATATCCTGGTTTTTATTTTTAATATATAAGCAAAAATTATTCATAAGATGAACAGCCAGATGTATTATAAACTCAAAAATTTTCTAATGCAACAAAGTCTATAAATATGTATATAATAAAACCTATGTGTAAATTAGAAAGTTTATTGAAGTAAATTTGTGTTGAAAAATGTAAGGATTAATGATTAATTTAGATCATGACTATTTAACATTTTTAATGAATAATTTGTAATTAATAACTATGTTTATTGGTTACTTATTATGTGAGCTGTCGTGACAAAATGACTCTTGTAGTATGCCAGGCCAATTTGATATATTCAAGAAAATATATTTTATTTTGTTTGTTAAATTTTCCCCTTTTTTTGTTTTTGTTTGTACGAACGCACCAATTGATATTGAGTGTCACCGATTCAAAGGTGTATGTTCAAATTAATAAAGTATAAAGTATCTGAAGCGATATTTTGACAAAAATTGGGTTTCAATTTTTCTGATAAGTTTAATATGTATATTCCATAGTAGAAAAACTTCCAAGTTGAGTTACCTAATGTAATCATGTTTTTGAAGCACATTTTGTAAAGCTATTTTTTAAAATTAATAGGAAAATCAACACAAAATTCATCAGTCGTTTATCTTTAGAGGCAATTTTCTCTTAAGTATGTTTTGAATGATCCTAGGAGCATGATTTAAACACCAAAAGCTTATATGTTCATCAATCTAAATATATCAGTAACTCATTTTTCATTTTTCGTACTACAAGACTCATTTTGTCACGACAGCTCACATATTATTGCACTCATTGACTAGTGACGGGAGTACCAGTGATTTTGGAGACAGGTACAAGAAATGGTGTTGTCTGTAGTGAAGTGAAAATGGTTTCACCCTCGATTGACATCTGTACTTAATGATGCATTAGTGTATAGAACAAAATGATAATATTACATAATAACATTATACAGATTGATATAACTGAACAGTCTTCCTGTAACAGTTTTGCTTCCTTAGTAGTAACATACTTCTTAGGGTTCCACTACCACTGGGGCTGGTTTTCCTCATAAGGCCTCCGTGTGTTATGGGCGAATTTCCATTTTGCTTTGGCATTTTGGATATCTTAAATGTGGTTTTTTGATGTCAAGCTACCTCGCTGGGCCTATTTGTGCAAAAAACACCGATTGATATCCAAAGGCCACCTAAGGTCTGAGGCCCCTTGGATTTAGCCAGTGAAAACCAGGTGACAACTCTGATACTATAGGTAGTCTAATGCCAGCTGGTCAGCCACTGTGATGGGGTAGAGGCAATTGGTTGGACTTTGTTCAGCCAGCACAGTGGCAGCTTCCATCTTGCCTATGAAAGTTGTCTTTGTACACTTGAGTTGACAGGCATCTCCTATTCATCTGGGGGAAATACCAACACTAGTACAGTCAGTATTACAGCATCTGTGATCTTTCCTATCAATTTCAGTTCTTTTCACTTTTTTAGTAAATTAATGAAATACATGTTTAAAAAATTAATAAATTTTTCTACCTATCACAACTATCATTGACAATCTAAGTCTTCCCACGGCTTTTACCCAAGTGTGCTTCAAGCAGGTCATAGTTGTCTTTAATTTCTGCGAATCTTTTCAAGTGACTTAGGAAATTGTCCCGTGGGCGTCCTCTAGTGGCAATTCTGCAAAATACCACCAAACTCTTCGCTTCATGCTTCCTTGAATTATGCCCAATAAAGCTTTAATGGATGCTTCTCAATATCTTCAACCCAATTAGAATTAATGCACATAATCCAGTGTAATGTCAGAAAATTGTAATGCCTGACTTTCAGGTGACCTATGATTTAATTGATTGGTTGCTGTATGTATATTATTTATAGAAGTTCAAATAATTTCATCTGGTTGAAAATATAAATGTAATATAGACCGTATTCGGCTGGTCGTTCTTCGTTAAACCACGCCCAACTGCGTAGTGGTAAAATCCTACTTAACGAAGACGACCAGTCCAATAGAAAACTGGTAAATACTCGACAAAACAAAATGGCTGCATTGTTACCGCTATACACGCTGCGTAATAAAAATGTTTACATCCAGTTTTTGAATTCTGTTAGCCTACAATTATTTTTTGACTTCATGTGGGTAAATAATATGATTTTTATTTTCTGAAATTTTATCAAAATTATATTAACGCAAATGTTGTTGCTAAACTGACCAATCAGCCAAACTCAGATTAACGCAGACTGATTTACAGTCTATTTTACAAACCAGTTGAATGAAAATAATACTCAACGAAAAATCGTAGTCAACGAAATGAACCAGTCAAATAAGGCCATTGACATTTCTTGTGATGAACCATTTATTTTCACTATCTTTCATTATTTTGATCTGCTCACAACTGATTTTCATTAGGCACTGACTAGTGTTGTTTTATCATCATTGTTGTTGCAACTTGAACCTGTGTTAATGAGGTGTTGTCAATACATTGGGTACACCAAAAACTAATATGCTGCTATAGATGTTGGGGAGTTAGTAAGCTCCTTCATCTCTAGTGGCAGATCCAGGAATTTGAAATAGAGGGGGGCCAGAGAGGTACTTTGACAGATGGAAAGTCTATACCACCTCAGCCCCACCATGGTTGGTGATTATTTACAATAATGTCACCTCTAGAAGGCCAGAAATGGCACTGTTAGACTTAAGATTTGAATGTAATTTTCTTTTTTTTTTACAATTTTTAAAGATTTTGGGGGTCCCAGGCCCCCCCCCACCCCCTGCTTCTTGAATCTACCACTGATCTGTGTTCATATATTTTTAATATCAAAATTTCATCCAAAATCTTTTTTAGGGAAGATTCTGGGATTAGAGGCCAGGCTCCATTACTGCTACATATAATATACCGGTGTCACAGGTATTTAGGTCCCCTTTTTATTCAGCTATATAACCTTAAATCCATGGGTAAATCATTTTACTAGACATTTTGACCCACAGTAGTTGATATTTTTATTTAGCTCTACTAATGCTTTATATTTGTTTTTTCCCGATTACTTACTAATGAATACTGTTTGTAATTGTTACACTATTTAATGATTGGTGTTAATCAAGATGATTGTGGTGTATCTATTTTAGAGAGATTTAATTACTAAATATAAAAAATATTGAAATATATTGTATAACTCCGACATACATTTAGTTTCTGTGAATAGTGTGTAATATCATGGAGTAAAGTTTTTAATTCATGGTAATATTTAGATTTATTTCTTAAGAAGCAATTTGAAATTGAATGTAGAATATATAGATAAATCTAGCTTTTCTATAGTTTTGTATGGTTTGTGTATTTTAATTTGTATAATACAGGTACTGTTGTTTTGTTACGTGCAAATATGGTTTTTGAATATTTATTGATATATAATTTGTATAATTTAAAATATTTGTGGTTTTAGGTGAAATAATATGTGTATTGATTATGCTGGCCTTCTCCCACCATAACCATTATGAACCTTGCAGATTATTTTAATTCATTTGTTCACATGAAAGAGTATTATTTTTAAAGTCATTTTTATTTATATTGATGGCTTTATACATTAAAAAAGTATAAAGTTTACTTGAAAAGAGTATAATTTGTCTTATATATCTATTGCTTTGAACATTTAAATTTTCATGACTAGACTTTCTATTGTTGGAGCATGCTTAATCCTCCACATAATAAGCAATGTAGGTACTACTACCATGGAATTTTTTTCCTGATTTTACTGTAGTTTGTTTTCCTCACCCCATGACAATTTAGTTTGACAGTACCATATTTATTTTTCATGAACAACATCTAATTCAGATTTAAATGTTTAAATTTTAGAATGTTCAAAATAATTGTGTAATATTCCACTGCTGTTTATGATCCTAACCTCACTTGAAATCTCTCACTCAGGGCTGTAAAGGAAATCACCTGTAAGTAATGAGACAAAGTTTCTTGGATTTTTTAGTGGCAATTTAAGTTGGCTTTATGTCAGTTCATCACCTGTAAATAATCAAAAACACTATCAAAATTTGTTTTGATATTTCAACAGTATTAATAGCCTAAATAATTATTATATACGGTAAATATACAGTATTTTCATAGTTCTTTCCCTTATTATATTACTGTATATGTTTTAACCAGACTGTTCCCCTAATTTTCTCATCATACGTTTATGTATTTGATGATGTCATCATTTTAAAGATTTTAGTTTTAACATTTTGTCTACGAAGATACAGTATTCGATACTTGTCCACACTATCAAATTTTATGCAACAAATTTGTGTGAGGTACAGTACCCATATATATGGGAGTGATGTTATATTACACCCTAATATGGGCATATCACATTTATGTATAATATTTGATAGAGTAGACAATACCCGCAGCTAAAACCAACTCTTGCTTTTAAGTAAAACAATTAATTTGCTATTCGTTCAAGCAGTGGGGGCACTAAGATTCGCCCAGGGATGTTCCTGATGAGAATTTGAGTTTTTGGGAACAGGGGGCTGCTTAAATCCCCAAAAAGAGTCCAGTAAACAAATCTCCTGGAAGCTTCACACATTTGGGTAATTTGAAAGGTTTATTTAATGAATTTTAGAGTAAAGTAATCTAAAAATTAAATGATTATTTATTTGTTCACTCTCCTCCCCCCCCCCACTTTCATGAATTGTGTTGAGCCTGAACAGGGCCTCTGGGCCCCACCCCCAACTAACACCACCACTGCTTTGAAGTATTCTGTAATTATGTAATGATACCTAGCTACATTTAGCAATAGTGAACATTCATAGGTTTAATATTTAGGAATGAGACAAATTGTGAAAATGTATACAGTAATAGGTAAAGTGTAAAATATAAACTGTAATCTAAATATCAAATATCACTATATTACAGTATATGGTTTAATGAATATCAGTGCAAAATATCAATTGATTATTGTATCAAAGTAGAATGCTTTATTTGTGGGTAATGGTATCTAATGTGATAGAATTTTTAAGAAATGTGATATAAAATTGATTGAAAATAAACAAAATGCAAATTATCTGTTCTCCATAAAAATGCAAATCAAATGTATTTTCAGATAAGATGTATGAAAAATATGTTATAGTATTTTAATAATGTTTTGTGTTCTTTATGTGAATTAATATAAATATTCATGTGTAATGAATATTTGTAATGCGTGTGAATTTATATGAATAATCCATATGAATTCCTAATATTTTGTATGAATATTCATGATAGCTCTATGTGAATTCATACGGTTGCAGTGCTAGTCTCACATCTATTCACTGATCCTACATTAAAAAACCCTCAGCTCACAATTCTTTGATTGGTTTTTTTTAATATGCACTCATTGATACATAAAAGAGACTGCAAAAAGACTACTTTTTGAAAAACTATTGGTCAGTTAGGATTAGGCATGTGGGATTGTCACATGATCATGCAGGTGTAACAGGTGTAACAACCACTTGACTACCATGCATGTGTAATTGGGTTTCCAAATGACTGCACCATGCATGTGTAATTATCACATGACTACCATGCATGTGTAAAGGTATGTTCACACACACACGGTGTAAGACTGGCGGAGCTTACGCCGGGATAAGCTAATCCACGGAATAAAATTCCAAAGTGTAACTGTAGTGAAATATTTACAGTGCATCATTAAAACCTGTGAATTGTTTGAAGTGAACTTTATATGATTATTGTATTTTAAATGAGCAATGCTACTTCTGATTTTTCAGCTAGCATTGTGGAACAGTTGTTATTGCAGGTTTTAATACAGTCTAAATAGATTAAAATATCTTACAAAACACAATCAACAAATCATATACATTGTAAACTAAGTAAAATGCAATATAAAAAGAACCCCTTTACCATTTTATTTATAGAGAGACAGGAAAGAGATCAAAGTAACTAATCTATTGCAATCGTGATTGGTCAATCTCTTGAAATGAGGTCAAATCATTCAAGCATCACTGGCGTTAGATCCGTGGTGTTAATAACACCACAGAGGTGGCGTTGTGAGTGGCGTAAGTAACGCCACTCCCTAGTTCACACACAAAGGCGTACACTACGCCAGGCTTACGCCGTTTGTGTGAATATACCCAAACTACCCCATGACTACCTTGCAAGTGTAATTGGGTTACCAAATGACTGAACCATGCATTTTGTAATTACCACATGACTACCATGCAACTGTATTGGGTTACCAAATGACTGCACCATGCATGTGTAATTATAACATAACTACCATGCAAGTGTAATTAATTATTGTATGACTGCCATGTCAGTATTGTCACAATCATGTGTGATTACCACAATCATTTAATGTATGTTTTAATGAATGAAAATATGTGTCACTACCATGTATGTAATCATTACTGCTTATGTGTTAATATCACATAAAGTGTCGGACTACCATTTTAAGATGTAGTTTGTTTACCATTCTTCTGTGGGCAATGTGGTTCCAATGTTTTTATTTTGTTTGTCTCAATAATTGATTTTAGAAATGTACTAATGTATTAAAGTTACAAGAGATTTAGATGAATGTGGATTATATTTGGTGAGAAATATAACAAATATTTGACTATCTTTACAACGAAAATTGTGTTTACTTAATTCAATAAGTCTCACTTAATTTTCTTTTGCATTTTAAAGATGTTTTATGTACGCTACACTGCAAACATCCACTTTCAATGAACTAAGTATCCGCCTGTAAATTTGATTGAACTATATGGTAAATAAAATTGAGAAATACCCCTTTAGGCATTAAATTACATTAAATACCTCATTTATATTACAAAAGAGACATTTTAAATTACAGACCATAAATATGAAAATCTCTCTTAATTGATTACCAGCCAAGTTAATGGTTAAGTGCTTGAAACTGGATAGGTTATTGTCTACATAATGGATTTTTTTTATACCGTACATACATTTTTGCCATATGTTTTATACTTTAAAACAAAACAAAAAAACTTACTTTACATTCCCTGATTAACTATTATCCTGATAAACAGATATCTTTTATGCTTTGTTTCATTTGCTATACTATTTAAAATTTAAATTATATTTTGAATACACCACTCGGCAACAATTGGCCACCGCAATTTCTAATAATTTCCATGAGATTCCTGTGCCTTATTGGAGAATTGGGACCCCTGGGGAGACATGATCTGATATGAATCCTTAATATGAGGCTTGCCATCCAAAAAACAGCATCATTGACCAAAAACGAAGATTTACTTTTTAATATATTCTTATTCTCCACGTTATAAATTATGGTATGTGTCATTTACTGGAACTGACTTATTATTGCCAAAGTTATGAGTAAAAGTATTATGGTTTCTCTGTACTAAAGTATACAATACTGCTATATTCTTATGCTAATTACTCATTTCAACAATTGGCAACTTTACGCTGGTTTTGGATGGCATGCCTCGCATAATTGGAATGTTTATATTTTCTAACTGTACGTATCAAACCCAAAATTTATCCTAATGGTGTATCTAGAGTGTGAATATTTTCTGGTTTTGCTCGCTTGTAGTATTCGACCCATGAACCATCGAACAGATACACGTCGTCCTTGCCAGCCATGTGCGCCCCAAGAATTAGCACGCATGCTGAGATCCCTGCACCACATGAGGCTGCAAGCGGTTTGCTTAAGTCGATTCCACTGTCATCAAAAATCTTTTGTATTTCCTCAGGACTCCTCATGCATTTGTTTTCCATGTCAATGATGCTGGGAAATGGTAAACTAATAGAATTTGGGATATGTCCTGATTTGCAGTCTGAAAGAAAAGTAAACAAGGTTTGATTATGTAAATATACTGTATATACTGTATAAATACAGTTCATTAAGCTCATAAAGCTGGCAGGCCGGTAACTAAGGGCGTTTCTACAGTTTGGCCAAACCCTCAAGCAAATCTCTTTCCATCAAAAACCATATCAAAATGCTTCAGTTCCTGGTAGCTATGCCACCTGACCCCACAAGAGCTTTTGCCCTGGATCCCACCAGACAGAGTGCTTGCACCTCTTGTTTTCTGGTTCTCAATACTAAAACCCCAAGGAATCCTGGTTATGGACCTGGTTGGTCATACATACATACATTCAGATTTACCGTATATGTACACTCGCGTATAAGCAAACATTTTTGTATGTCAGTCGTATAAGGCAACCTCGTTTTTCAATTGTAATTTTCTATTTTAAGCCTTGTCTTATACGTCAGAATATACAGTATTTCTGTCTGGGTTGGCGGCCAAATGTTGGATCAGTCTTTGATACCGATGTATGGTTGTTTTAAATATATGCAGACATCCATGTCCTCTTCCATTATAAGTCTGCCAGGTCTCTTCAGTACAACAAAGTTTATTGAGTAGGAAGCTGTCAAAACAACAAAAAAGTGTAAATTATGCCTGATTATTGTCATGTAGGTGTTAATACCTGATCTTGGTTCTGGAGCTGTTCCATCAAACCTTCCTTTTGATCTTGCATCCATTACTTGATATTTCTTCTCGGTTATGTTGGCATCCATTTCTTCAAAACTCTTCACTTTCTCTGAGTGAAACTTAGCTTGAAATTGTGCTTCGTCTACTTCTGGTATTTTGTCTGTGAGCTCGTAGCCATCGCTAATCCACTTTTGAAGCCCACCATTCAGAACGGACACCTGCTGATGTCCAAACACTCGTAACAGGAACCACAGACGAGGAGCAGAGAAAAAGCCAGCCTGTTCACTACCATCGTAGACTACGACATGAGTATCTGATCCAACACCTAGTTTGCCAATGTACTTTGAGAACTCATCTGGTGATGGCAGTGTATGAGAATATGGCGACGTGTTGTCGGAGTTCTCTTCGATGTCATAAAACAGGGAACCAGGTATGTGCCTCTCTTTGTACTCCTTCAAAGGATCACGTTTAGCTTTTGGTAGATACCAAGAAGAGTCCAAAACTTGTAGATTATTATTCATGCCTCTTGATATCTGTTCAAACAGCCATTTTGTTGACACAAGAGTTGATACCTTTGAAGCCATACCTTGAAAAGCAAAAAATATAACAATCACTGCATTAGCTATGCAAGAGATTTCATTAACTCAGACAGAATACAGTCTCCTTTCAGTGTATGCTATTGTACTTTAACCTTTTAGCATCACTTTGTCTTGGTTTGAATACACTTTTTAAGAACACATTTTATAAGAACAAAAGTTAAAAGAAGTTAAAATTGCTTAGAAAATAAGAACAAAATAAAATAAATTAATTGAGTCTGTGGCAATTTGTAGGGCATCAAAACTTGCTTGCTTGTCCTTGATGCCTTTTTAATCAATCTTTGAATTGAGAATTGTAAAAAACTAAAATATATAGGTCCTATGATAAAGGAAATTGATTGAATAAAAATTTATTGTGTGATAAAATGTCAAATGAGAATTTTATTTTTAAAAACTAGAAAAACCAACAAATCTTCTAAACCTTATGTGCAGCAGGTGTCAAAAATACCCTCAATATTATTCTGTACAGTAATATACTGACTTTACAATAATATTTTAGGTTTGCAAAGTGTGTAAAATATTAAGCCTGAAATTGGCCAAAAAATAAGAACACTGACCCTTGGCAACATTTTACTGGTTCTTATGAAAAAAAAGTGTATTGGAATGGAAATATGAGCAGTATTTGAAGTAAACCACATTCGTGTTGGTTTTGCCAAAGATTGGCCTAAATACTTAGTACTACCAGGAAGTTGTTATTTAGCTAATTACAACTTCCTGGTACTACAATTAATGGGTCATAATAAAGGTGGGTTCTCCCGTGGTGAGTTGCTGAGTTGCTTAACTGGTTAAACAACTCAACAAAAGCGAAATCAGTAAGAAGAGTTAAGTCTATAATATATTAGGAACACAAATATATGGTTATTATCAACTTTACCTCTCAAGAACAATGCCAAAGTTGCCAAAAGAAAGGACCAGCGCAGTCAGATTCAAGCTCCACTTTGGGCTCAGCTTCAATAAAGCATAAAAAAAAACAGAAAATTGCGCCACCTATTGGTCATTGTAGCGTGGGAATTTATGATTGTCACTTCCGCATAATATTGTACGCTAGTTCGTGTAGACTGCCCAGAGTCCGCGGACAAATTACTCTAAAATTTACATTTTACAAATCATTAATACCATTCCATTTGTTTCTGGTTACCTGAAGGTAAGCTACTGTTTTCATATTTGTACGTTTCACGGACTGTTAACTGGGTAAGTTGTATGGATTTAGCTATTATTAATATTTAGGCTCGCCGTTGACCGGGCAGTTGATGTTTAACTCATCCGGGAAGTGAGACATTCTTCGCCTTCAATTGGATTTATTTGCCACACCCTCTTGATGAGGAAGTAGGCCTAGAGTAGTATGCTATCAGGAAGCTTAACACTAGCTAGTGCGTCATTTTTCAAGTACTGGCAATCATAGAAAAAAAGTACGTCGTATTAATGCCAAAATGTCAATGACATGTCAAAAAATATATAATGGGCTAGGCAAGAGCCTGGCTATTCCTAGGCCTATCTTTGTTTGAGAAATCATAAACAAAAGAGCAATTTGTAAATATTGTTTCCTTCTTTAAGGTTCAGTAGAACAAAATGGAAAAATTCAGTTTTGGGGTTGAACCTGTTACTTGCCATGCTTGGAATGGAAACCGTTCACGTAAGTCGCAGGATTGGTTTCTTATATAATTTATTACAATCATGAATTAAGTATCAAAATGTCTTGTAATTTTATCAGTACAAAGTTCAAAACCATCAGACTTCTTAAAGTTAAGTTTGTAGTCATGAAATGTATATACTTACAGCAAAATCATTGAAGTGAGTAGTCCATACAAATTACGTTACATACCTTCTACAGACATACTGTTTAATAGCATGATCTGTCAAAAAGTATCAAAACCGTGCATTGTATGAATTTTTTTATTTTGAGAGGTTTGCAAGCTGACAAGATATAGAGTACGGACTAAAGAGCAAATAACATCTGTATTTGAACTGTCTTGAAAGAGCCTCTTCAAGTCAGCATTCCTATTAGAGCCACCTCTCAACAGGTTGTTGAATAAATAAATAATAATAAACAAGAAGTTGAATATGTTTTGTGTATGTATTTTAAATTTTTTTTTTTTTTTTTTTTTGACAGAGATTGCCATTTCTCCAAATAACCATGAAGTGCATATCTACAGCAAGAAGGGGAGTGGATGGGAGAAAACTTTCACCATGAAGGAGGTAATGAACATACATAAACCTTTATTAATGATTATTCTCACTGTTGTTGCTATTGTTTTTGCTGTTGTTGTTGCTACTACTTCTGATGCTGCTTGCCAGTGCTATCATCATCATCATCTCCACCATCATCATCATCATCATCATCATCATCATCGTCATCCTAAATCATCATCATAAATCATCATCTCCACCATCATCATCATCATCCTAAATCATCATCTCCACCATCATCATCATCATCATCATCCTAAATCATCATCATCATCTACACCATCATCATCATCATCATCATCATCATCATCATTTCCACCATCATCATCATCATCATCATCCTAAATCATCATCATAAATCATCATCTCTCCCATCATCATCATCATCATCCTAAATCATCATCATCATCATCATCATCTACACCATCATCATCATCATCATCATCATCTCCTCCATCATCATCATAATCATCATCATCATCTCTCCCACCAACACCACCAGCCACCATGTTTTATGTGTACTTGTATTTGCTTGAAATATAAAGAAAATAATAAAAAATAAAGTATGTCCCTTTTTTCATTCACAGCACACCCAGCGTGTAACTAGTATCGACTGGGCTGCTGAAAGCAACCGTATTGTCACTTGTGGCACCGATCGTAACGCCTACGTGTGGGTGCTGAACGACAAGGGAGAATGGCGGCCAACGCTTGTTATTTTGCGTATCAATCGTGCTGCAACTTGTGTCAAGTGGTCCCCTAGAGGTAGGTTTTAACAGGTTCAGATAGCAAGAAACAATAGTAAATAACTATTATATAATATAATATTAAGTTTAAATTGATCTAGCACATATGTTAGTGATTTTAAAATATTATGCATTTTGGTTTTTTTTTTAGAAATAAATACAGGAGCTGTCTTTTTTATTAATGTATGCAACACATATATTTTTGTTTTACTAATATTAATATTACAATAATACATACATACTATTTTTGACATAAATACAGGGCTTTCTACTTCTAAGTATTTAAATGCACTTTGAAATTTATGGAGTATTTGTAAATGTCCTAAAAGAGCTTTGTGGCGCTTATTTGAAACGCACTTATTAGGTCATCATTTATATATAGTTTATTACTATGCTCTATAGGGTTTTTAGACGGGGATAAACTGATTACTGTGTGGCTTACTGTGTAGATTGGAATAAATTTACGGTGTTTAGTTTCATCCACCAAACCTCAGTGGTCGACTCTTGACTAAATCAGTACTGAGGCTTCCTGTACTACTCTATAAAAGATGGTCATGTTACTATTATTAAACAGTATCATCAGAATTTGTACTAAAATACTTTTTGACTACATCTTTTTTATTAGAGGATAAGTTTGCTGTTGGTAGTGGTGCTCGCCTGATATCAATCTGCTACTTTGAAAGTGAAAATGATTGGTGAGTTATCAAAGATCTAAAATTATTATTGTGCTTTATAAGCTATTATTGTTCTTCTAAATGATCTAATATTATTGTCATTAAAATTCATATTCTCATGCCTTCCTGTCCTATTTGTTTTTGTAGGTGGGTGAGTAAGCACATCAAGAAGCCGATTCGCTCAACCGTGACCTGCCTTGACTGGCATCCAAACAATGTACTGCTGGCTTGTGGCTCAACTGACTTCAAAGTTAGGTAATGCACATCATCTTAATGTCTCTGCAATGCCTGAACTATTATTGTTCTAATTTTATTATCATCATTATTTTTTTTATTTAAAATATTAATATTATACCAAGGCTGTTTGGTGTTGTTCAGGTATGCTTTTGGTGGGCGTTGCAAATTAACAAACTCTGTCTGGCACAAAATGCGTCTGAAATTGTTATTAATTATTTAATTAGGCCAGTAATTGTAAACACCCAGTTAATGTGTATTATGTACAGAAATTTTCTCAATACAACACTGATAATGTTAGCAGTTATTGTCATTGGTTATTGAATATTCTGTTGAAGACATAGTATGTATTTTTATTATTGTGGTTTCTGTTATTCTTGTATTGTTGATAATATTGTTATAACTGGTTTCATAATATTTGAATTAAATATATAATGCTTGATTTTTTTCATATTTCGCAATCTTTGTAGAGTGTTCTCTGCCTATGTGAAAGAGATTGAGGCCCAGAAGCCAGAGAGCACCCCATGGGGCAAGAAGATGTCATTTGGTGTCCTGATGAGTGAGGTGACAACCTCCGGAGGATGGGTGCATGACGTCAGCTTCAGCAGCGATGGTAACCGTCTGGCGTGGGTGTGTCACAACAGCACCATCAACGTTGTTAACGCAGCAGCTGATTCGCTCGTGACTACGACCAGGACTCCGTACCTGCCCTTCTTATGTTGCACCTGGATCTCTCCCAATGCTTTGATTGTTGCTGTAAGGCCCACATATAGTCATTATGTGCCTATATATGGTCATGATGTGATGTCATCATGACCATATTTAGGCATGTAACATATTTTTTTCAAATATCTGAAAAGCAGCATCGATTCTGTCATATAAATTAGTAGTAACGGTTGTGGGGATGTGCGTGTATTTCAAACCTTGCAATTGGTTGGATATTTTGTGTAATATCATCGCTGCTCTTCATGTTTTAGCTGGACATCAAGAAACTATCATAGTGTTTACTTTTTCATAAATTTTCTTCAGTGTACATAAATATATTTTTTTAAAGCTGTTTAAAATGTCCTGTTTGAGAACTAAGCCCTCTAAACTTCTCTTAATATTTGAGACTGAAATAACTATATTTTAGAAATCATCTAACATGTTAATGTTTCTCTGACACTAGGGACATGATTGCGAGTTGATGAGATATTCCGTAGATGCCAATGGTGCCATAACCTTTGTGAAGAAGATCTCCGTTGCATCAAAGAAGGCAGCTGGCAAAGTCAGTGCTATGGCAATGTTCCAGAAAATGGACAAGCATGCAACAACTAACGAAGAGAAGGGCAAGAGCTCCACCCATCAAAACTCTATCACGTAAGTACTTGCCTCTACCCTCACAAATGCTTACATATTCTCATATATTCTCAAATAATCTCGCGCATTTTCACATACACAAATATAACTTCATCATAGTTTGGATCGTATATTTAGTGCTTAAATTCTGTATCACATGTAATACTCAGCACAATGACGCTGCAAGTTATGGGTTATTCTCCTACCTTTACCCTTTACCTTTCCTTTATATGTACTTCAAATATTTGTTTTAATAATTATTCATTCACAACTCTAGTATTAAATTTCAATATTTTATCTTTTCAATATTATACTGTATTTTTCTTTTTCGTATTTATCAGTTTAATTATTGTTGTATAGGCCTAGTAGTAAAGTTCTATTTCTTTTAATGTAATCTGTCATTATTCCAGATTTGTAAATATATTTCACAAGGCTTGCCTTATAATAATCTAAATTTTTATTGTGATACAATACAGTGTACTAGAATTTATGATTCATAGAATATGTTATATACTGCCCTCTATTGGCAAGTGAAACATAATTGGAGAGCTGAAAGTACTTATTATGATCACTCAGTTCTATATTAGTGTAACATACATGCATGACAAACAGTACCCTTACCAATAAAGTTAGCCTGTGTGCAACTTAATACTGATTTACATAAGTAAAAATAGCTGACACTCTCAAAAACAATTTTATATTCTCAAGTATTCTTTTAAATTCTTAGATACTCTTGCATGATTGTATTCTAACATAATCTAAAAAATAGGCTCCCAGTGGGAGAGTGTGTCTACTCCCAAATTTAATAGAAACGGTGCTTTTTATTATTATCCAAGCTTTCCAATTTGTGCAGACTGACTGATGATTGATATTGTTAATAAGCTAGCATCAACTCCAAAACCACCGAGTTAGGGTAGAAAAAACAACGGGAACAACCACAAGCAAAACAGTCTTGACCCGAGTTCAATTGTTGACCCGTTTAACCACTTCTACTCGATTTAATTTTAACTTCCATCTTTTGGAACTGTTCGTCTGATATATAATGGCGATTGGCTAGCAATGCATCGTACCACACACGACCGAGTTTACGGGTAGTAGTAAAATCACGACATTTCACACATCACTAATGTGACATAATGTCAACTTTACACTTCCAGATTCTTACTTCACACTTTTGTGAATGTCAGCTCACGCTCACAATGTCAACTTTACGCTTCCGGATTGACCAGGATGGCAAAGTGTCTACTGCCTGAGGGCAGTAGACACAAAAATGCAGGAAGTTTAATTAAACACATTTTATTTTCTTGTTATAATCACCTCCTAGCTCACTTGCCATTTAAAGTGCTGCAACACTTTATTATCTTGTACTTTAGTTATAAAATATCTATAGTTTTATTAATTCATTTTGAATGCATTGTTCCTTTCAGTCAACTCTCCATTCACACTGGAAAGAAGGATTCTGTGAGTAAGCTGAGTAGCACTGGTGTGGACGGACAACTCGTCATCTGGAACATCAGCTAAAAAACATGCTGTCACCATAGCAATAACCCCAGTTGTCTTAAATGAACTGAGATGCATTAAAATCTTTAATTAAAGGAAGAAAAATATATTTTATGATACATGCTATTCCATTATTATGAATTATTACCATATCATTCAAAGTACTAACAGACATTTCAAGAACTATAATCACAGTGTGTAATCTCTGTGGCAATATATCAAATATAATCACATTTTACAATACCGCCCTCTTGGTTTAATATTAAAGGTAGAAATTAAAAACAAACAGTGCCCTCTGGGTTCCACAGTAACTGAACCAAACAAATAAAGAATAAACAAAGTGCATTAAGTTGTAACAAATTGTATTGAAAGCAAGAAAATAAAATATACATTTTCGTACGAATTTATTTGTTTAGATTGATTACAAGACCTAACAGAGTGAGCAACCAGTAAACTAAATTCAAATTTGACATAAAAATGAAGCTGTATATTTGTAGATGAAGATGCCATGGGCCTTCCAATTTCGCATACATGCAATATAAAAACAACGAAAACAGGGACAGAAATATGCGCATGTACCAAAAATCACATTATGTAGTAAAAGTGCTGGGCTCAGCCTAATGATCTATTAACAGGTGTTGGACCAATTCATCCTCAGCGATTTTAGACCATGAACAACAAAGCCTATGTAGTTATATTTTGAACACTATATAGGCCTACCAGAGATAAGCCCCGCTTAAGCTCATTTGAATCGTTTTCTTCATCATTCATGTTAGAGAATTGTGCCACTTTGTATAACCAAGTCTGAAATCAATGGGAAACACACTCGTTTAATATTGTATTGTGGACTACAAAATATATAATGCTGTAAATGATTGATACAGATGGGTAGGCCTACTTCAGTTCGGCATGCACTCAAGGAAGTCACTTATTCGATAGCGGTGCTTATGAATTGCTAAAGCGGTGTTAAGAGCCACTTTATACTATCAAAACCACCCTCCACCCGCTTCCCGTCCTGTTGCGTAAAGTGCCTAATGACTTTAAACCACGCAACTTTCGTTTACCGTTGCTTTTGTGTTTTTATGCAAAATTTCTGTTGTGCAATTCAAACGGAAGTATTTGTATGTAATTGTTCAGATAAAGTCAACATTGGTAAACTTGATGCTGATGAATTTCTTTGACTGCGTCGATACTTGCTAACGATAGATACACAAACGCATTCATCGATTTAATAAACATTGCTTTGATTACCAGATTGCGGAACTAACTACAACTAATTCAAAGCCCGAGCAAACGAGATAACAGAACGCTATTATCTAAGGTTATCACCGGCGCTAAACTCGTGACGAAATGATAACGAATATAAATAGATCAAACTTAATCCCCTAATAAGCAGTCCAGAAATGGCTTATTCTGGTGTTTCCAGCGTTTTGTTGTTAGCAGTTGGTGTCATCCTGACAACCGGTACGCCATTGGATGATTACGTGAACGCGCCGGACGCGCACTACTCGTATACCTTGCTAAGTGACTACACAGTACGAGTTAAAGATGCATACACAACCTACATGATTAATATGACCTCACAAAAATGGCTTACAGGTACGCTCATTACCTTTGTACTTTTCTGTAACACCGCACTGGTGAATATATATTCGACCCCTGGTCCAGTGTCTGAGTATGCATGCCGATCTCAGGTTTAAATCGGCATCGTTATTTATTTATCCAGGGGCCTACAGACACTTATAATAACATGCATTTTATTTTTTATTTTTTTGCTAAATCACTGGATGAGAAACTGAGCAGATGTGGATTGTAGAGCAATAAATCCCATTTATTGATGGAAAATCCATTAATTACAATTTCATTCACATTTTCATCCTTTATCTACAGGGTCTAATCCGTCCTTAATCCCGCAATTTACATAGTTTAAGTGCAGGGAATAAAAAAAAGAAGTTGATGTTTAAATTAATGCAATGTCATAAATTGTTGAATAACATTGAATATGGTAACTGTAACGCAACGTAACCCCGCCGTTTCATTATTTTGGTCCTGGTTCATGATGCTAAATCACTCCGTATCCCACCTCTGAATACCGTCCGGCAGAACACACCAATCTACATGAACGTGCTACAGACAGGGGTGGCGCCAGGACCTGCCCGACGGAGGGGCTAAAGGCCCCGACAGGGGGCTAGTGGAGCGAATCGAGTCTCACTTGGCTGGGGGCCAGGGGGCCGCCTAGGGCCCCCGGTTGGGGTCCAGGGGCTTCGCCCCTGGAAGCCACGGATATTTGATGAATTATGGCGAATTTTTATTACTTATTTGATAGGCATCGAGTTATTATAATATGACTTCATGTAGGCTATGCTTTCTAATGTTGACATCAGCTTCCAAAACCAAAACATTTTGAATAAAGCAAGAAACAAAGAGTATGCAATGTAACCATCTAATTTATTTTCAAATCCTCATTCTTGAAAGAAATTCTATATTTTGGAAATTTTGCATGAAATCTGTCAACCACGTTTTCATGGTCGAGGTTGCTTCACCTATCATGATGTATTCCAACTACCATGAGGC